AAAATAATTAGGTTCAGATTACCATAAATATGTTGATTATTTATGGTCATGTTACAAACATTAATTGCATTTTAATATCATTCCTTATTATAACTATTGAATTGTATATGTATTTTAAAAGTTAATAACTTTTGTTTTTTTTATCAGTTTTACATATGTAATATATCAAATTAATCTTCTTTTGATGAGTTTCGATTTAACATCCGTATTCTATGTATAAAAAAAATAATTTATATTTATCTTTATAATAATAATAATATTATTTTTAATATTAATTAGAAAAATAAAATTATTTATCAACTAATATATTTATATTTCAAGTAGTTATATGTTATAAGTTATAAAAACTAATATAATATAACACATGTAAGTCATAAGTAACACATATCATTCTAAAATATATAGTAATATATTTTTTTGTAAAAAAATAAACTAAATTTAATATAGTTTTCTCATTAATTTTAAAATTTAAGAATAATTTTTTAACAAGCACTCGTGTAATACACGAGTGTTGTACTAGTAAAACACTATTTTAATAAAATGAGAAGGGGAAAAGCATCACCGTGAAAGAATTTCACACAAATCAGAAAGAATTTTAATTTCACCAATATGCGCATAATATTACTTCAATTATTAATTATTAATAGTTTCATCGACGACTACAAAAAAAAGAAAAAGAAAAAAAAAGCACCAATTTAATTATAATTAATACATTTTTTTTTAAAAAAAGCACTAATTTAAACCTAAGAACAACAAACACGCGCACATTACACTTATAACACCCAGATAATAAATTAATTAATACAACAAAATTAACTATAACTAATCACATATAGAGTAATTAATTAATTAATAAATTCTACCACTAATAATTGTTTAACTGCAACAAAAAAGATAATAGTAATAATAAAATTAAGACGAGGAGCTAGCCGCAATTATCCCTGGGCGATCGGAGCGGGAACAAAGGGAGGAGCTCCGGCGGGTCGGATCCCCTGGGAGTGTTCAACGGGCTCGGGTGCAGGTAGAATCCCTTCTCGGCTATGGCCCTCTCCTCCTCTTCCATCGGGGTCCGTGGACTCCCACGCGCCGCCGCGGATAGGTAGTCCAGCGGGGACACCGGCGAGTTCAGGGCGGCGGCGGCCGCGCCGAGCTTGACCTCCAGCTTGCGGGCAGTGGGCCGCCTCTCGTGGAGCTTGAAGGCGGGCCTCCGGGGGCCCACCTCGCCGGAGATGGGTTTTCCGGGGGGCTTAGCCGCGGCGGCGCCGGTGAGGCGCTGGACGACGGCCCGGAAAGTGGAGGGGTCGGCTTGGACGAAGGTGGTGTTGGGGATGGAGTTCGGGTCGAACACTCTGAATGACGGGTTAGGGATTGGGTTCGGGTTCGGGCCGTTGTTGTTGGAGGAAGAAGCTGCCATGGGAGAGGAAGGTTTGAGAGAGTTTCTTATGATTTTTAGTTTATTTTTTCTGTTTGGGAGAAAAGGGGAAAATGGAGTAGAAGGTGCAAAGGGGAGCGGGAAAGAAGGGGTTCCTTTTTATGCTGCTCTCTTAGTGCTTTTTTTTTTTCAAATAAAAATATTAGAA